CCACTCTGCTCCGTGCGGCAGGACATAAGTGCAGCATCATTTCCGTTACATATAAATACACTTTTCTGGTTCAATTGCGGCTGTTGGCCATGACTTGGCCGGCAGCAACGTTGGAATCGAAATCAAAATCAGGAATAGCTGTGGATATGGCCATGGCGCTATGGGGATATGGGGCTCGATATCGGCATCTTCCGCACGGCAGTCAACAGTCAACGAGCGCAATTTAAACTTGTTACGTGCTTCCAGCATCGTCATGTTCGGCGTAATGAAATGTGGAACACAGATAGACACACTGACTATCTCATCCCATCGTAGCCCATGCCATCCCAACCTATCCTATCCTATCTAGTATCAGCAGCTAGTCAGACACGGCACCATTTTTCTGCCTGATTTGAGAATGCCGTCGTCTCTGGCCATCCAGGCGTGCCCTTTTATTACTATCCCATATCTGCGGATACGCCGAGTCATGTCCCTTCGCCAAGTATCCCCATGTGTTTGTCTCAAGCAGGAAATTATGAATCCCCCTCACTTCAGACATTTTATTGCCAAGAAATCGGCTTGTCATTCACCGTCATCGGAGATTATTAGCATTGTCTTAGCTACGATTCACGCGGAACATCAAAGACGTTTATGATTTTTCAATAGTTTTTGAATTAAAATGTAAAAGTTATTATTCCTGTTTTATGTAGATGGTTTACAACCATTGAAACCCAAAACAAGATAGAATGCTAAAGTCGAGTTTCCCGACTATCAGATACCCGTTACTCAACTAGAGGAAGTGCAAACGAGAAATTTAAAAAAAAAAAGATTTCTAAATTTAAAAGCAGATTTTTAGAGAATTGAGCCAGAAACATTTAGAGGTATGCCACTTCAAAATCAGATTAAGATAAGTTGAGTTATGGACTTTAGAACTTCATTCATGGGACATTTTTGAATTTCTACAACATAATAACATCAGAAAAATTACAAGAAAATTTTGAAAAAAAAAATTTCCAATTTTGAATGCATATTTTTAGAGATTTGCTTCAGAAAAATTTAGAGGTATGCCACTTCAAAATCCGATTAATATAAGTTGAGTTATGGAGTTTAGAACTTCAGCCTGGGGACATTTCTTAGTTTTATCGAATTTCTACAACATCATAACATCAGAAAAATGACAAAAATTTAAAAAAAAAATAAATTTCTAAATTTGGATGCAGATTTTAAGAGAATTGCTTCAGTAACATTTAGAGGTATGCCACTTCATAATCCGATTAATATAAGTTGAGTTATGGAATTTAAAACTTTAGCCTGGGGACATTTCTTAGTTTCCTTGAATTTCTACATCATCACTCCAAAAAAATTACAAAAAAATGGAAAAAAAATAAATTTCTAAATTTGAATGCAGATTTTTAGAGATTTGCTTCAGAAACATTTAGAGGTATGCCACTTCAAAATCCGATTAAGATTAGTTGAGTTATGGAGTTTAGAACTTCAGCCTGGGGACATTTCTTAGTTTTCTTGAATTTCTACAACATCATAGCATCAAAAAAATGACAAAAACTTAAAAAAAAAATAAATTTCTAAATTTGAATGTAGATTTTTAGAAAATTGCGCCAGAAACATTTAGAGGTATGCCACTTCAAAATCCGCTTAAGATAAGTTGAGTTATGGACTTTAGAACTTCAGCCTTGGGACATTTTTGAAATTCTACATCACGACATCAGAAAAATGACAAAAATTTAAAAAAAAAATACATTTCCAAATTTGAATGCAGATTTTTAGAGAATTTCTCCAGAAACATTTAGAGGTATGCCACTTCAAAATCCGATTAAGATAAGTAGAGTTATGGACATTAGAACTTCAGCCTTGGGACATTTTTGAAATTCTACATCACATCAGAAAAATGACTAAAAAATTTTGAAAAAAAAAATTTCCAAATTTGAATGCAGATTTTTAGAGAATTGCTCCAGAAACATTTAGAGGTATGCCACTTCAAAATCCGATTAAGATAAGTTGAGTTATGGACTTTAGAACTTCAGCCTTGGGACATTTTTGAAATTCTACATCACAACATCAGAAAAATTACTAAAAAATTTTGAAAAAAAAAATTTCTAAATTTGAATGCAGATTTTTAGAGAATTTCTCCAGAAACATTTAGAGGTATGCCACTTCAAAATCCGACTAAGATAAGTTGAGTTATGGACTTTAGAACTTCAGCCTAGCGATATTTTTGAAATTCTACAACATCACAACATCAGAAAAATTACTAAAAAATTTTGAAAAAAAAAATTTCCAAATTTGAATGCAGATTTTTAGAGAATTGCTCCAGAAACATTTAGAGGTATGCCACTTCAAAATCCGATTAAGATAAGTTGAGTTATGGACTTGGGAACTTCAGCTATGTGACATTTCTTAATTTTCTCAACATCATAACATCAGAAAAATTACCAAAAAATTTTGAAAAAAAAAATTTTTTAATTTGAATGCATATTTTTAGAGATTTGTTTTAGAAACATTTAGAGGTATGCCACTTCAAAATCCGATTAAGATTAGTTGAGTTATGGACTTTAGAACTTCAGTCTTGGGACATTTTTGAATTTCATACATCAACATCATAACATCAGAAAAATTACAAAAAAATGCGTGGCGTAAACTTGCGCTGCGTCTATGTCTCTGGAAGCTGCATGCTTAGTCCCAACATTCTAGCTTTTGTAGTTCCTGAGATCGAGGCGTTCAGACGGACATGGCCAGTTTGACTCTATGGTCGGAATACTTTATGTAGTCGGAAACGCTTCCTTCTGCCTGTTACATACTGTTCAACGAAACTAGTATACACTTTTACTCTACGAGTAACAGGTATAAAAATATTGAGAATCAACTCTGAGCCCCCATTTGATGATCCAGCCATTGTTTAAACATTTCAATATGAATGCCAATAAATAACCAATTGAAAGCAAATAGTGCTGCAAAAACAGCAAACCATATAATGGAATTTTTAAACTGAATTGCGGGCACAATGGAGTGGCGCAGACCGCTTCTTATGAGCATTCATTCATCAGTCCAATCAATCTGCTGGCGGATCGCTGGCAGAAGCAACCAATTTGAAATAAACTATGCACAGACACCTTGGAAGCCACGAAGCCATCAACTCGGCATTGGTTTTTGCCTGGCTTGCCCGATTGGCCTGGTTTGTCCGTAAGTTAGTCTAATAAATTCCATTCACCATTCACCAGTCGCCTTTCGCTGGGCCCTGATTGCCAGTCAGCCGTTCGCAGCCTTTGATGATAAATTAAACCGTGTGTCTACCGCTCGAATTTATTATGCGCCAAAACGCCAAATGGCTGTCAGGAATCTCTCTCTCTTGCACGGCCGCGAAACCTTTTAAACTTTAAATCCGCATCAATGCATCATCGGTGAAAGCCGTGCCAAAGTAACAAACTTTGCTTTTCTCAGCTCTGCCGCGCATTTGCTCGCGATTTTTTCTCCTTTTCCCCCGCTGCCATAAATTGCGAAAGTGGCTTTGCCTCGCCCAGGGAAAACTGCTAGGATCTGGCCTTTCTTCGCTGCAATCCTGTGCGGCTTGTTTATGCGCTTCACACGCCTGTCCTTACCTGGTACTCCGAGTCCTGCGAGTCCTGCGAATCCTGCCTTCTGCCTGCTGGCATATTGGTTATTAATGTTTATGGCCGCTCGCTGTCGTCGTTTGATCTGTGCCAGTTACTTGGCCAATGAAATTTATAATTTCATTTGCTGGCCATTACAATAATTCATAAAGCCAGACAAGCTGGCCTGGAGTGTTAAGTCTTACAATCATATCAGATCAGCTCCTATTTCTTAAAGATAGTATTAAATGTCGCATTCAAGGAGAACTGATGTAAACATGCACATTCCTAATTACTTTAGAATGCTCCAGCATAGGAGTTTTTTAAAACATTTGTTGCAGGGTAGTGTTTCACTGCTATTTGGATTGCAAGGGCTTACTTTCGTTTTAGGCAGATTTCATATTGCTCTATTTGCATATCGTGCTTTATTGCTTTTATATTGGCTCATATTTCGTGTTTTGTGGAGCTAGGCTACCGGAGAAAGGATGACTGAGTCGATTCGGGAAGGACACGGGTTGTAAATTGCGACAGGCTGCCAGCGGGGCTTTAAATTTCAATATGGGCTCTATGTCATCGAATGACCGACACGACCACGCCCACGCCCACGCCCACACCCACCTAACGCCCCCAAGTACGGGTGTGTAGAGCCGAAAATTTACGACGTAATTGAAACCGGAAACTGCAACGTTTTGTGGTGAATTTTAATAAAGTTTCGCCTTTGTCCGTAGTTATTTATTGACAAATAGCAGATAATTTGATTTTGTGCCAATATTAAAAAAAAACACTGTGACACACACGAGGGCGCAAAGGTCCCCAAATGGGCGATGCAGATTTAGTACCTCCTGGCAATTTGTGTGACTCATGTTCAGCCTATTTGCCCCAATTCCATAACGATATTTTTTATTTTCAAGTCAAAGGGCTATGTGTAATTGGATAAAATGTCGATGCGCGAATGCGGAGCAACAAATTTTGAATTTGGAAAAATACTATAGTGTATAGATGTGTGATAAAATAAATTGAGTTTTCAGCGGCAACATTTTAACACTTTTAGAATCATCTGCGGTCAACAATAAAGTGGAAATTTAATAAACGTTCATTAAAATCTATCGATTTTCAATCAAATTTCTTAATGGCTTGCGCTCAAAGCGGCTTTTAGATAAATAGCTTTTGGCGTATTAAATAAATTAAGCTTTCATTATGTTAGATAAAATAATACAAGTTTAAAATAGTAGTCAATAGTCCAGATTAATATAAATAGTACTACTAGTTCCATTCAACGCTAATCTTACTTAAAGTTAAACCAAATTCATTTTCCACGGCAAATCATATAAATGAATGGCCAATAATAACAGTATGAACATTACACAGAAGAAGTAGTAAACTATATTTTATTAAAATTTAGAATTCATTCTCAATTTAGGCCATGATTATATGCACATCAAGTGCGATTGGTATTATCCAATCGGCGTAGGCCATCACATTGGTATAGACGTCCTTCATTGTTTCGGTATTATGATGGCTCAGAATGCCATATTGATGAACTACTTCCGAATTGTCGATTTTTTTGGTGAGTGGCGACCCAATTGCTAAGGCCTCGGGGGGTTTATTGACTTTGGATTTTTGATCTGGAAATGTCCCTGTAAAGAACTTGGAAATCCACTTGGAAAATTGTTTGAAGATGTTAACTTTGTCCTTTTTAGGCACTTCACTTTTTTTAATTTCTATCTCAAAGGTAGGAGCTTTCGGTACTTTTTCCACGTTTACAATAATGCATATCGGTTTTATATTTTTTTTGTATACAACACTTGTTGCCAATCGAACCAAAGCTATATTATGCTCATATGTTGTTGAGGTATATAGCCTATGTACGATCGCCTTCGTAGCACTGATTTCTTCATATTGATATTTACTGTACCCACGTACAAAACCCTCTCCCAAGCGAAGCAAGCTGTTGAAAAACATAGTGAATAAAATATACTTCATGTCCTATTATTACATACAGTTTAGTTTTGTTATCTATGCAACTCGCTGCGGTCAAGACAAAGCCTTAAAAGTCAGCAACATTGTTAAACAAATTTTAATAGATTTTTATTCAAATACATACGTTCGTTGATAAGCGAGCCAGTGCATGTGATATTTGAACTCGGATCAGGAAGAATTTTGACCAGCCATGGATTGGGACTAAATACAGAACCTATCCCGCAATTCTGCTCTAAATATAAAGTTGATCCTTGGTGAAACAGCAGCAGAGCAAAAATCGCGTACCAGAGTGCAGCACTCATTGTTTCAAACTGAAGTTTTCAAATGAACTGAAGCTCTTATATATTCTTATCAGCGAACATAAAATATTATTAACTCAGAGATTAAACCTCCAACCAACCATTAATAATTAAAGCTGAGTCATTATTTAAAGAGAATTTTACGTATTGTTTTTTGCAAAAAATAAAAAAAATTAATTTTAGCTTACCATATGCCCGTTTCATAGCCAGCAAAGATTGGTTATGAAACGATTTACGTCATATTTCATTCATTAAACAAATTGTTCATTAAATATTTTATTTACCATTTTTGTATTTTGAGTATTTGTCTAACGCGAGTGGAGCTATCAAGTTGATATAGGCCATAACATTGGTATAAACGTCATCATGTGTTCCTGTATCACGATAGCTCAGAATAGCTGGATATTAGTCATTAAGTATGTTTGTTGTTAATTACATTACATGGCTTATCAGCTCACACTTCTCGCAAGTACTATCACTTCTTATCGTATATAGTCCCTGAATTGTTTCTTCATGTGTTTCATACAAGAATCAAGGGCTGAACGTCAAAGGTAGCGGATCCGCAAAGAATTATGACTTTAATTTCAATTTCAGTCTGAGTCCAGCATATGTGTCGTCCCTTCGATATCCTGCCCTTTCTCCCCTACCGTTTCCCTTTCCCAGTTTCTCTGGCAAACCACCTGCCAGTAAGCATTGGCCATAATTCTAAAGTCAGTGACGGATCATAAATTTAAAACTTTTCTGCGAAACGGCAGTGGCAGAAACAACCAAAGGCAACAACAATGGTTCAAGATGGGCGACCTAAGCTGAATCCATGGGAACCATCGACGGTCAATGACGAAAGCATCAAACTCAAAAACCGATTGCCATCATATTGAAAATATTGAGTTCAACACTCGAGAAGCTCGGCAACTCAGGCTGCATTCGACTCGACTTCCAAATGCTCTGTTATATTTCAAAAAGCTATTTCATGAGTTAATAGAATCGAAGTCCAAGGATATCGTATATATATTATAAGACTATCTTTATAATCACTCTATGAGAACTACGTGGTGTTATGGAAGCAAAACGTTTGATGCATCCAAGCTTTTCCTTATTTAAAAGCTGGCTCTAGGACACAGGACCTTCAGCTGAATAGGGTATGGAAAAGAGCGTTTGTCAGCAAAAGAATAACAACGACAGGCAAAGCAACTGCAAATTACACTTGAATGGAACACAGGGCAATGGGAAAATGGGAAAATGGGAAATGTGGGGGCGGCGATGGCAAGAGGAAAAGGTAAACGACAAGAATACGATTGGAAAACGATTTTCATTTCTGCAGCTAATATGAGCGACAAATCTAAGTGAAGTGGGTCGCAAGGGGCGTGGCTACATCACACTCGCAGTCACACACACAAGCACACAAACACACACATGCAAGCATCATGCAAAGGGACAATTTCGAAATCAATATTTATGACTGCCCCAGCAGATTTATTGCAACTGGCAAAGAGGGTACGAATTTCGCCTCGTTCTAGCTGAATTCTTTTCTCTATTTTCCATTTTGGTTTTTTTTCCTGTTGCTCATTGCTACTGTTGCTTTTTGCCGAGCTCACAAAATAATAATACGCCGTGTTTGATTTTCGTATGCAATCGCATATCTATTTATTGTCTCGGTGTATTTGTGCATTGCTTCGTTTATGACACTGCAGCATTTGATGATTTATGCATTTTAAACAAAATGTCAGCAAATGGACGTATATAAAGGAGCTGGCATTTTTTTTTCCATTCGTACATTTTTCGTTCCTTCTCCGGCAAAAACGATCAAAGAAAATTCCAATTGGCAATGCATTTGGATGCTATACTGCTGCAATTGCAACTGCATTCAATTAACACACATACACGCAGTCCGCCTTTGGCGACCACGCCCCCTTCTGCTGCTGCATGAGTGCACAGAGAGAAACTACCGAAGGATTACTAATATCTTTCAATAACCCATTTCAGACCTTTAGTTTGAGTTCTTATTTATTTATCAAGTCTTAAGCTTAATGATTCGGCTGCCTTTAAAGCTTTAAGCTCATTTTTAATAAAGATTTTATGTACTTAAATTATATTACCCTACTGCAGTTAAATTTGAATAGAACGCTACAATTACACGCGGAATATATCAACTTTAGGTTCTGTGTATTTGTGTAATTCCATTTGTTGGTCTCGGGTTTTGTTGATGCTGCCAGCCAAGCACAACTTCAATTGAATTATGAATTTCAAATTTCAATTCTACTTCTTTGGCTGCAACGGCAACGGCAACGGCAACAATAACAAATGCATAAACAAACAGTAATTGCTACCTAGCCAAAGTGAGTGAAAGGCCTCAAAGCGCATTTGTTTGTACGCCCCACCGTCCGTTTGGTTCGGGTTTTGGTTTGCTATTCGACCAACAGACGTTGAAATGTAAAACATCCCACCACGTTGCCCTCCCTCTGCTAGCCTAATGTCCATCAAGGTTTTAAGCTGTTTGTCAGCCACAAACACAGAGACGGCCAGACAAACACACGGACACAGGGATTTGGTTCATAAAAAGGCCTAAACATTGCATCCATTCATTAAAGGGGAAGAGGGAAAGGGAGCAGACTCAATCCGACATCTGTCATCGGCAGACGGGAAGAGGCCCATGATCAACATAGTCGATTTCAATTAGGAGCTGAATTCTGATTCTGCCCGGTTATCGAATCATTTCTGTCTGATATTCAGGGTGGACTTAGAAATTACACTGGGAATATTAAAATGTGCCTTCCATTCATCATGCACCATCAAAATCTGTGAAAGCTTCAATCGAAAAGCACTATTTTTCATAGCATGCTTTTAGGCGCTATCAAATCGGAAATGAACTCTTGCAACACAGCGAATAAATTGATTTATTTATTTGGACTACACACTCCTCTATATTATTATATATTTTCAAATGAATTAAAATGCACTTAATTATACAGCAATGGACCACTCTAATAAACTCTTCCTCTGGCCTGATGTGTGCCAAGATTCTGATTACGCTTCTGTTTTTGTTTAATTTCGAGCATAATATTTGACGTGATTGCTACTTTCGGGTTTTGATATGTGCTGTGCAAACATAAAGACATCGAGAATCATATTAATTTGCTGGCTCCACATACATTCTGTATGAACCTAATGCGGTTGGCCCATGCCAAGGATGAGCAGGGAGCTCAGCCTCTTGGCGCTGCAGCCGGTTGGCCTGTGAACTCTGACCGGACCTAATGAGGCGCATTTAATGAGCCGCAAACACGATAAACATGCAACCGAAACGGCAACAGCGCCAGATTGATGTACGGCATCCTGCTCACAGGTAACAACCTGCACAAGTACACCCACATCACAATTTGTCTCGCGGCGCTTTTATCAACTTTCGCGAACAAGCCGCGCCCACACACACACACACACACACACATGTGGCTGGGGCGGAGGGTGGGGGAGTTGAGAGACGAGGTCCTTGCTAGGATTCGACATTTCATTAACGGGACACAGCCTGGAACAGAAAACGCCGCAGGCCTTTCCTGGTAGTTAGCGCTAACAATGTGGCTTGATGCGGCCAACTTTGAATGTAGTCGGCGGCGGGGAGGCATGAAACGAGCCCTAAGTGCCCAGAATCCAAGCTTAAAGTGCAGATGAGTGGCGTTTATTATAATATTCGAATGAATGTTATAAAGTTTCCGGCACAAAATGCAGGTAAATGCGGTTAGGGATGAATACCACTAAAAGGTTTCATATGCTGCAAGTATTAGATGTTTGATGGGCATTCAAAAATGTAATTTATGGAAATATGAGCGGATGATAAGATAGCTTCTTCAATTTCATAAATACCAAATAGAGAATAAAGTGGGTCTTATCATTTTTGTAAATTTTCCTCCTACGGAGCCCATCAACCCAAAACAAAGTTTAGATTGAAGCCGACACTTTACCTATTTGGAAGCCCTTTTGCGCAGAACTTTTAATTTTCCCACCACAATCAGCTTATGCATTTAACTATGCTCAATTAGGGAACCTAATCAGGACTCCAGAGGCCCCGTCGAGAAGGTCAAAGGCAGCTTTCAGTCCGGTCTCGAACGGACCCCAGAAGTGAGGAGTGAAAAGCGCAGCTCGGCGATGAAGTATGGCACGAATAATTGTTTTGTTGCCGACACAGCCAAATATTTATGCCTAATTGGGTGCCAATTAGGCACTGCCGGCCACCACTTTGTGTAGATCCCGGCATACCCTTCGTTTCCATTACACCCATGCCGTTTTGTTAAAACTTTTTATTTTGAGCAAAAGTTTGGCGTCCGCCACGGCAAAGACAAACGAGGGACGGAAGGCGGAAACTTAATTAAACTGTCAATTGGTTTCTAATGAATGAATGCAAAGATGAATGAGTAATGAAGCTAATTATGCCCGGCAAATACGTCAAAGTAGCCATAACCGATACACACACACGTACATTGAATTACAAGCAAATAAGAGAAGGGTGCAAATTTAGCATTTTATGTGCGGGAATTTTAATTAATTCGTGCTTAAATTGCCGGCACATGGCAGGTACCTAATTGACGGCACGGGTATACCAGCTTAACTCTTTTTACAGATCAAAGTACTGGACCGTACTAAAGTACTAATTGATAGCACGGCTCTTTAATAACTCATATTTCTGAAGGGGGCCCTTTGATTTCAGTTTCGCGTACACTGCCTTGTAACAAACTCTTTTATATGGTTATATGGTTGAAAAATACACGCATGATACAAGTATTAAGAAAACTTATTCCATGTGCATTCCCACAGAATTGCCATAGTTTTTGCCAGCAATTTTTGTGCCAACAATTGACATTTGACATCTTAATCGCAGCATGTGTAGAATTAAAAAACTTTTTTCATTTCGAAAGGCAATTCCGAGTGACGTGACTCGGCGCCAGAATGCAAATGTGCAGCAGGCGAAGGAGCAGTACGAGTTTCCTCGGCGACGTCGGCTGGAAATTAAATGA